AAAGATCTTAAAAAAAAAAAAAAAAGGAGCACATTACCATACAAACCAGCAGTCCCACTTCTGGGTATATGCCCCAAAAAATGGAAAGCAGGGACTGCAAGAAATATTTGTACACCCATGTTCATAGCATCATCATTCACCATAGCCAAAAGGTAGAAGCCATACATCCCTCCTTCAACAGATAATTAAAATGTGGTATATACATAGAATGAAACATTGATTGTTCAGCCTGAAAAAGGAAGACACAGGCTACATCATGGATGGCCCCTGAGGATATGACACTAAGTGAAATAAGCAAGTCACAAAAGGGCCAATACTGTATGATCCCACCCATATGAGGTCCCGAGAGTGGTCAAATTTATAGAGACAGAAAGTAGAAGGGTGGTTAGTGGGTGCTGGGGGAATGGAGAATTACTGTTTGATGGGTACAAGCTTTCAGTTTTACAAGATGAAAAGATTTCTGTGGATGAATGGCGGTGATAGTAGCACAACCATGTGAATGTATTTAACACCACTGAACCACACACTTAAAAATGGTTAGGATGGTAAATTTTGTTATGTGTATTTTACCACAATTTCAAAAAACTTTTTAAAAAGCGGGGGAGAGGGGGCAATGTGTGCCCCTTATTTATTTCTCTCTGGTGTTGGGGGACGTTACTGAGAACAAAATCCCGAAGGCAGACCATGTCATCTGTAAAACTGTGAAGCCTGAAGTCTGTGCCCAACATAGCCCAGGCCCCTGGCTTCTAATCGGCAGGGCCAGCTGAGTCAGGAAAGAGTTACAGAGCCTCAAAGCTCCCCAGAGGCTCCCTGAGGGCAGGCATCTCAGGTTATGTAACCAGGCTGCCAGCTTCCAAACACCGGAGGTGAATTCCGACATGCTCCGTGCCTGAGGTGAGCCAACTGATGATTAATTCCCAAATAACTTTATCGTGGAGCCTTTTTCTAATTCCCTAATGCAGTAATGCCCCTTATTGCTAGATGAGAAATCTCAGGGTTTTCTCTGTGATGGGTCTACCCAAATGTATTTTGAAAGAGGGGCTTATCTTTCATCTTTCCCTTCCTTTTTGCTTAGCATTCTAGGGGCAAAGAAAAACGTCAGCAAGGAGAAAATCCTGACAGCAATGGCTCTTTTGAACTGCTTGGTGATCCAAAGCTTTCCAGCCAGTAAGCTTTCTGCTTTACTGACACCCTAATGACAGATAGACAAGAAAAACACCACAGCTACTCTCTCTGGTCAGTGGTCCCTTTTCCTGAATCAGCAGTCCATGAGGATCTTATGCAGGGGATGACAGGGGAAGATGTTTTCTAGAGGGAGTCTCTGAGGCCCTGGAGGCTGGTCCCCAAAACTCCGTGTCTGAGCTCTGGCCAGGCATCTACATAAACCTGTCAGGCTCCCCCAGCCTTGGACGAGCAGCCCCAGAGCAGCACTCACATTCGGCTTAGAAAATCTGTGCCAGTGATTCACCATGAAGCCCAAGGTTTGGCAGCTGGAAAAAATGTAAACTTTCCCCTTTCTTAGAATTTGCAGATTCACAGTTCAGCCAGAAGCCAATCATTTAACACCAGTTGGATTAAGTACTTGGATAGCCTTCTACTGAATTCAGACAGACACAGAGAAACACTTACTTGTGTCTTTGACATAAAGTTTTGCAAAATTAAACAAATTCCTCTAAATCTGAGCGATAACAGAAAAAGGGAGAGGTTCTTATCCATGGAGGGCAAAAGAAATTAAACTTAAATGGTGTGACTTGTTTGTGATGAGATCTAACCAGTTCCCTAGTTGATGGGTTTTTTGGTTTTTTTTTTTCAATCTAGATATTTAGCAATAAATTCCAAAAATACTGTTTAACATAGAACATACCACTTTGGGAATTCCAGGAGTCATCTTGAAGGGCAAGGGGTGGGGGGTGTTTTCTGGACGCTTCTAATACCCCCACCCACTCCAAACGCATAGATATTTGTCAGTCAATCATATTCCTCATTATGTATCTGGATTCAGAACAGAACCTCCCTGCCTCCCCCCACCCTCATTTTCCCCATTTGCTTGTCGTTAGATGGAAAGGAGAAAACCCCCTCGCTCATAATAGTCGCTCCTGCTTCTTGATTTCCACACGGCTCTCTGGAGCCCACGGAACTCTTAAACTATGAAGTCGTCCATGGAGTGTGTGGACGGCAGCACCCCCGCTGTACACTGGTACCCCTACTGTCCACTGTCATCTCTCACTAGGTCTTTGGGCGCAGACATGAAGTTAGCAGGGCTATTAATATATACTGCCACCGGAGAAAGGAGAATTGTATTTCCCACCGTCACTCCTTTAAGGCATGCTAAGCACCCTATGTAACTTAATAGCCTATTCCTTTCTTTGCCCACAAAAGAGACTTCGGCTCATGAAAAATCACCATTAATATATAGTGTTCATTGTACATACAGCCTACCACTAAGATAATATAGTATATTCCAAAACCCTGCCAAGACGCTGAGAACATTTTTTTGGCACATGGAAACAGCAGAATGACCATAAATTATGTAAAGGAAGAAAATTCTTAGTACATTTCAGAAAAAAAATAAAAACCTCTAGCAACAAGATTTAACACTTAATAACTCTCACGTGCTCAAGTTTCCGTTTAATCAATGGCGACTTTTGCTACTTGAACACATCTAGGAAGCGTCACCAAAAGAGTAATTTTAATATTGCATCTAAATTCGATCCGAGTGGTTACATTTTTATGACAGAGTAACATTTGCAGGGCCATTCTTTAATACAGAAGTTATTAAATCCCACAGTCCCTTAATCCACATTGCAGACTAATCTAATGCATTTAAGCCGCCCTTGAGAAGCCATCCCTCAGCATGCGGCTCGTACAGTGTGATAGCTTTGGCTTTTCTGACCTAAGAAGTCATTTTTCCCCTCTTGACAGCCTAAGAGTCATCTTTCATAATGTTTTTTTTCTGTAGTTCCAACGCCTCTCAACTCCTGACAGTCCAGAGTGACTTGGTAAGTCCATTCTTCTCCCATCAAAACACCCATTTACTGCAGCAGCTGCCGACTCCCAAGCACATGGTCTGGCAAATATCCTGTTATAAAATCTGAAAATCCTGGCGCTTTCTAGCAGGGTCCACACATTTCCCACTGTGCCCATGACCACTGGGAAACTGACACATACATACTGGGGGTGCCAAAAAAATGTATAGAAGTGGACACTTTGGTCAATGTTGCTCAAGCAGTAGTTCGCCGTCATCAGAAGTGTCTGATGGACGTTGATGGTCACCACTTTGAGCACCTTTTGTACTTGGAGAAGTCAAACGTGACTTGTATTCATCTTTTGTTATCCGTATATATTGAGTATTACAAGTTTAATACAATTTTCTCTCTTAAAATGTTTTTTTTTTTGCTCCCCTGGTATATATTTAAAGACAGTCTAGCCAAGCGTTTAAGCTAAGCACCCCATGGCTATATTCTACCAATCTTAAGTAAGTCACCAGGTCTCTTTAAGTCTGTTTCCTTGCTTGTAAGATGGGAATAGCAGTTGTAACCACCTTCACTGACACAATGACTAAGAATCCAAAGAAAGCCCAGTACTTAGGGTGGCATTTGAAGTTTTTATTAAAATATTTAGTCTGATTTCTCAGGGAAGTGGACTAATTTTCCCAGGTCCAGACTAATGAGCAAAGCAAGCACCAGCAAGCTCTAAATTAGGGTTCCCCTGCCTTAAATATTTTTTTCAGAACAAGGTCAGATGTAAATTAACAACAGCAGCAGCCTCTAGAGAACTGGCTTTATGTGGTAACTAAACTAAAAATGAATTATTTGATAAAAAGTCAGGATGGTCCCAATTTGGAATGACAAAATATTTCAACAAAGGCTTATGTTTTTAATCTAGAAAGAGTTGGCTATAAATGATCTCAAGCTTAACAGAAATCTAATCAGACGAAGCTAGAGAATAAGAACTAACACAGGTATCTGTCATGTGGGCACTTTCTGAGCTGGGTATCATGCCCATATCACAGGCAAGAAAACCGGATGAAGAAACAGATTAGCAGGCATGAAGGAAGGATGGCTATGCCATGACATCCAACAGTGTGAGCTGCATCATAAAATTTCCTGCTCTTCAGTTATAAACTGAGCTGTGTTTTTAAAATTAAGATCTAAATGCTTTTCAAGTAGAAAAACCACAGGTTGAAGTAGGGCGTGCCCCCAGGCCACCGACCAATGCAAGCTGTTGGTCCTTCACTGGAAACTCTTTCATTCTGCTCTCAGATGGGTGGGTAGGTGATGGAGAGATGGGCAAATGGACTGATAGTCTTTGAAATCAATAAACATATAGGTCATAAAACATTTTCCAGAATCTTTGTACTGATCAAACCAGAATCACGCCCCCAGTGGGAAGATTTATCTTAATGGTGATCCAAAAGAGGGCAAGAAAAATTATTTTAAAAGATGGTATTGCTTTTCAACTCTTTGACCACTTTATAACCAGAAGGAAATAGTTTATTTTTGTTGTCACTGTGAAATTTTAACTCTCAGTGCTCTGAGTAATGGTTTTAAAAAAAAGGAACTTTGAAATTCTTTGTCTAGAGATGGTTTGGCTGTGAAACTTCCTTACAAAATTGGCTGCAAGTCCAATTTCTGCCCCAAATGGGCTTATTGTTAATATGAATCAAGAAACGAACTCGTCATCTCTGCAGATGCTGGGACCTAAAAATGACACCCTCACTTCCACTCCATCCCAGTCCTCAGCCCACCACGCCCACAGGTCAGGAGCAAGGAAAGCATTGCCCTCTCTTCACTGGGGTTCCTAGCTAAAGTTCCCTTGCATGGTGGAAAGTAAGCTGGCGACCCCCAGAGGCATAACATAAAGAGAGGCATGGTGTGGGGCTGGCCGAGTAGCTCAGTTGGTTAAGAGCTCGCTCAAGAGTTTGAGCTCTGAGCAACAGCAGTTCGATTCCCGGCCCGAGCTGAGCTGCCAACAGGTGGCAGGATGNGTTGGTTAAGAGCTCGCTCAAGAGTTTGAGCTCTGAGCAACAGCAGTTCGATTCCCGGCCCGAGCTGAGCTGCCAACAGGTGGCAGGATGGCTCAAAAAAAAAAAAAAAAAAAGAGGGAGAGGCATGGTGTGTTGTGGGGCCAGGTGACCAGAGGACTGAAGGTCAGAGAGAGACACGGTTCTGAATTTGGCTGCAAACGAACTATGTGACCTCAGCAAGTCACTTGCATCTTTGGTCCTCATCTGCAGAAGAAGGCAACTGGATCACCCACTTTTTAAAGTCCTTCCCAGCTGTGAAAATCATTATTTCTAGAATAAGCATTATTTGCAAAACAGCAATTTTCAAATCTCGGGTTCATTTGCTCATCTCCTCCTTGCCTTTTAGGAAGAAGTGCCTGGAAAAAAAAGAAAAACACCAAAATACCCACTGGTTCTTGCTGTCCGCCTCCATTTTGTTGCATCTCATGGACTATCAGGTAAATTGCAAATGGACTCCAGTGTTTGAAAGGACCATGTTTGGGGTGGGTTAAAGAAGACACCAAAGTCCACGGTTTGACTTTTGGAGGGTATATGTATAAAACCAGAACATCTTTTTGGTTTTTCTAGCCTACTCTCTACAGACTTGAAAACTCTGGTGCTAGGCAAAAGATACGTAAGACTTGATCCTGTTGTATTGTGGTTACTAAAAATCTATCAAAGATAGTAAATTTTCTTTCCAAGGGAGGAAAAAAGCCCTTTATCTATAGTGTACTTCTGGTTTACCTTCCAAATTGGTCTAGAAATACTGTACTCAAGATAATCATATTTAAAAACTTGAAAACCATATTTTTAAGTGTATTTAAAAAGAATTTATACATTAAGTCAAGCATTTCCTTTAAGTTATAGCCCTTCAAGATATTTTATGTTAAAGATCACTAGGGATTTAACTAAGAATTACAATAAACAACAGCTAACTGAAGGTCAATTAGAGGCTTAACTTATTAGTAGGAAAATATGATTCCGTTCCTCTATGCTGAAAAAGGAGATCATGCGACCCTAACATGTCACAAAACACAAATAGTGTTACTTTTTCCAAAGATCCAAGTAACCCTGGTAGCTCAATGAAGTAGAATTGCAAGCTTTTTAATTGACCTAAGCCTTATGCCATGATCCCAGCCTTTTCTCCTCGGCACTTACCTGGCCACTCTTTTGGCCTTTTGCATCCATGAGTTTGAATTGTTATTGGTCCAGTTAGTCTATCAGACTAAATCCCTTGTGGGCAGTACCTACATTTTATACCTCGTCTGTCTGCTTAATTCCTGAAGGAAATGTCCTCCACAAGACATCTAATCCGAAACTCTATCCCTTTCAAAATGTTTTATATTATTTTTTTATTATACAGGTAATGCATTTAGCAGAGACTGAAAGCTGTCCAAAAAAATTCGTTTTCTCCCTCCTCCATAGCACAGTGTTGTAGCTGGTCACACAGATGCCTATCAGGATTCTGCTTCCTGCCTGCCTTGCAGTTGGCAGCCGGATGTAGCCATGTGACTGTGTCCCTGCTACGGGGATGTGAGAAGTGATATGTGCTGCTTTGGGACCAGGGCCTCTTCCATGAAACCTCTTCCTCCTTGTTATGACACTCAGCCTTGACCATCAGCCTCCCAGAAGATGACAAGCCCCCGGGGAATGGAGGAGCTACAAATGGAAGGAACCTGGGTCCGTGTATATCTGAATGGAACAGAGCCACCTGCAGAGATGGAACACCGACCTCATACCATTAAATGAGAGAAAATCATTTCTTTAAGTATCAATATTGTGGATCTCTTAGCAGCTTGGCCTTTTACTATAACTATAATAATACATGCATATGTATAGTTGAAAAGATGAGAAGCAGAAAAAAAAGTCACCTGGATCCTACTACACCTAAATAATGATTACTGTTTGGGGTAGCTCCTTCCAGACTGTTCTCTATGCCTACAAAAAAAAAAAAAAACTACATATACATATCTTCTACAGAAATAAAACCACACTGGTTTACAGCCTCTCTCACTTAATATCATCTTCTATTTAATATGGACATTTTTCTAAATAAAAAACATACCTATATCATTTTAATGGCTATTCTATAATAGCCTATTGCTAGATTTATCAGAATTTATTTAACCAGTTTTTCATTGCTGGACATTTGGGGGTTTTTTTTCTTTTAAAAATTCTATTATAAACAACACTGCAGAGGACATGCTTGAATGTAAACCTTTACCGGTCAGATTCTTTTTTTCTCTAGGACTCAATTCTTAACATCTTTGCATATCCTCTTTCTGGGTACCTGCAGGCAGTCATACTGTCTGATATGTAGTTGCAAGGCTACTTTCATTAATTACATTTTTGGATGAATTCCCATTCAGGTTTTTTCATCCATAGACAACCAGAAAACCAAACAAGGATCCAGCTCCCCAGGCAGTACCCAAGATGAATAAATGACTCCCCACCTAGTGGCATCAGCTAGACTCCCTGTTACAATGCAGCCCTGGTTGGTAAGAAAAGAAAGCACTTGTAGACCTTGTTTCCTGTTGACAAACCTTGATCTACATCTGTGTTGCCAATTACTTGTTCAATAAACCTGTTACTTTTGGGGAAATAATAAATAATTCAGGGAAAGTCATATTGAATCCTCTGACACCTGTTGCTTGCATGACTCTGAATTATTCATCAGCGTGCATAAACAGTATTAATTAAAGAAAAGTACTGAGGCAAACCATTGAAATAGAAATGAGCCTTGTGGAAGAAAATACCTTTACTCAAAGCACACTTTCCCTGTCATTGACAAATATCTCAAAGAACACACACACACACACACCAGTCCTTGGGGTTTAAGGAGCTGCTGCTACACTGAGAAATCAGAAGACAGAATATAAATGACAAACACTATTTTATGTTTCCAAATGTATTTTGCTTCTCGCTCCTTCAGAAAAAGCATCATCTTCGATTTGGTCCCTTCTCAGCAGTCTCTGGGTTTGTTCTCGGTTTAGAGGAGTGTAATGGGCTTGAGAGAGAAAAGAAGTTGACTAACTGAGGTTCATAAGAATTGCAAGAATAAGCAGCAGCGGATCAAGTCATCATCTGCTCATTTGTAAACTGAGATTTAGACATATTAATGGAAGAGTGTCCCCGTCCCCCCGCCTCCAAATTAAGGAGGGCTCAATTAATCTAGCTGCCACAGCCTGATCATTTATTTCCATGACGACTCTAGCACTTCCTTTTGACAAAGCACTTTCTTGTGGTAATAAGCAAAAGAGAAAAAACCTTGCAGGCTGTCTGCCTCTTCCACGCGAGTGGCCGTTGGCTAATTCTTCCCCAGTCTGTCTCTCGGTGCACTGAGAGTGATGTTAGATTCAGTAACACCCTCCACTGTAGAAGAGATGGCAGAGTATGTGTGTGTGGAGGGGAAGTGTGAGCATAAAGGAAATGTGTTCGAGTTTGCGAAGTTCTGTTGGTAAACAGATGCCTCCAAAGGGGCAGGGGGGCAGGGGTGTCTCGGTACCCGGTACCTCAGGTACCACAAGAAACAGGATTCTCAGGAAAGGCAAGGTGGGGAGCTGCTGATGGGAAGCTTGAATCCGATTTTCAGAGAAGCCTATTTCGTTGTGTAGCTAATTGTTGACACGGATGTAACCCTGCCTGCTCCCTTCACCCCAGTACCAACTGCTGGGGTTGCTGTGGGCAACAGAGGAGAAACACTGGGGAGTGGGGGGAGGGGCGGGGAGCAGCAGGGAACACAGACACAGAGGCCAGAGGAAAAAGAAATATCAAGAAAAAGAAAACAGATTGAAGAAAGCCACAAGCCCAGTTTGGGCAGTTTGGGGTCTTTTCAAAACCTCTGAATTCAGAGGACTGACAAGCAACTGGCAAGGTCGTCCTGTTAGTGACGACCCATGAATGGCTTCTGTGCATAAATCAGCACTCCAGCCTCTCCAGATCCGACCCACGGAGACCTCCCAAGGCTTCCAGAAAAAGAGAAACACAGAAACCCTCCACACACTTTTGAATCCCCTTTCAGTGACACCCTTTCAAGGGGTTTCACAAATGGGGACAAGCCCTCCTTGTCCCTCCAAGTTTGGTGTGTTGTGGTTTTGTTCCTGTGGGGAGGAAGGTTGGAAGAGGCACAGGAGATACTGAGGGGAGCTTGGAGAACGGGAGAAATGAAAGCAGGAAAAACAGCTCGGCCCAGCTCAGAACGGCCCTTCATCAAAGGGGGTTTGTTGTTAAAAGCAGCAGAGGAGGGGTGGAAAAGAAGCCAAGGCTCTCCGTTTCCCAAAAAGAGGTTCAACAGGGACTTCTGTGTCTCTTTTAGGCGCTACCCAAAATGAAACTGCAGATTTAGAGAAGATCACTCGGATAGCAATTAGATTTTAAGAAACAAACCAAAATAGACCTCTTTTAGAAAGCCAGTGGATGGACTCGCTGGGGAAGGGTGCCGCCCACCTAAGAGTCCAGCTAGGGTGCAGCTTCTTTGTAATGTCACTTGCTTCCCAGATGCCCACACAGCCTTAACTTTGTCCAAATATTCAGACACAAACATTTACCGAGTACCTTCCATTTAGAAAAAAGAACAAAAAAAAGGAGCTGCCTCCCTCCTTTCCAACACAGGCAGGTTCTAAGCTACAGGTAAAGTGAGACTCGTCGGAGCAGAACACGACAAGCTGAACCTTTCCTCGTTTGGTTACTCCAGCACGGACATGCCATCACTCTCAACAGGAAGAGCCTGGAGACAGCCCACAGACTGGCGTCTTGGCTTGGCAGCTACACTATGATGCACCCAGAAATTGGGGGCTGTGAAAACATGCTCTACCTGCTAGCAGTAAGCAAGACTCTTAGCGGGAGCAGGGGAGCATCTGGGTCCTCCTGTGGCTTCAGTCTAGGAGGCCCGTGAAACCCACAGGGCAGCGGAAGCCAGGGCCCCGGATGGTGGCCACCCAAACCTTGAATGCTGTCTGAATGGTAAACATAAAACAAAAATGGGCATCCTTAATAGAGATACGGATGGGCAGGCAGCTCAGTAAACCCTGACTCAGAGGCAGCACCCAGTTTTACCAAACTTCCTGGTGCATAGGAATCACCAGAGAATCTTATTACCATGTAGATTCTGATTCCGAAGGTCTGGGATGGGGCCTGAGACTCTGCATTTCTAACCAGATTCCAAATGATGCTACGCTGCTGCCACTTCAAGTAGCAGCCCTTCAACCCAGACAGCACATTAGAACACTGTAGCTCTGAAAGGGAAACCCATGATCCAGCCCTTCCCCTGCTCAATTAAATCAGTGTATGTGGTCACGGGGATGTGAAATATAGTACGGAGAATATAGTCAATAACATTGCAAAAACTATATATAGTGTCAGATGGATAGTAGGCTTATCGGGGGGAATCACGTCGTAAATTATATAAATGCCTAACCTCTACGCTGTACACCTGAAACTAATATAAAATAATATTGAATGGCAACTATAATTTAAAATATATATATATATATATAGGGCCGGCTGAGTGGCACGATGGTGAAGAACTGGCTTGGGACACCAGAGGGCCCCAGTTCGGATCCCACATATGAGGGCCAGTGACACTGCCCTCCACAGCTAAGATGCTGAGCAACAGCTCAACCTGGAGCTGGGCTGCCGGCAACTGCGTAGGCTGCAGCCCCTGTGGCAGGGGGTTGACATGGGCTACTGTGTGTAGCCAGCAGTCAGCGTGAGCGGCCAGCAGCTGCAGTGAGCGGCCGTCCAGAAGCCGGCGACTGATCTGCCTCGCCCGGGAAGAGCGCAATGATGGTGCCAACTTGGGCTGGTGGAGCAACGTCCTCCACAACTAGACTGAAGAGCAAGGCAACAGCAACTTGTCTGTTCCCCTTCCCCCAATTCCCCAGCACTGTTCCCATCCCCCAATTCCCCAATAAAAATCTTAAAAAAAAAAACACAACATATATATATATATGTATGTATATATGTATATGTGTGTGTGTGTGTGTGTGTGTGTGTATATATATATATATATATATATATATATATATATATATATATATATGGTCACGGGACGTAAAGTACCATAAGGTTGAATAAAGGAAAGCAAAGGGAATATAATGAATGGTATTGTAAAAGCAATGTACGGTGTCAGGTGAGTGGTAGACTTGTTGGGGTTATCACTCTGTGAGAAGTGTAAATATCTAATCACTATGCTGTTTTGTACACCTGAAACTAATACTAAAAAAAACAAACAAAAAACAGCATATATGGCAGTGAGGTCAAGCACTGGGATTTTTTAAGTTTCTCAGGTGATTCTTACATGCAGTCAGGGTTGAAAACACCTTGGCTGGACTAATTCTGTCTCTCAATATCAACTGGTTCTGTGGACCCCTGGAAACTCATCCCTGAAAACCTTTGTTTTGTAGCAGAAAAGGGGATATGCTGGCTGAAACGGACTGGTATAGAAACAAATGCACAGGATTTTAAAGTACTTGGAAAGAAGGGAGAATAGTTATTTTACATGATAGTCTCTTAGTTTCTTTAATTAGTGAGGAGTGAAGAGTGTCCCTGACTAAAGAAATTCCGCAAGTATGGCTGCATGCTAACTCTACCGAAGAAATTGTTTTTTAGTTAAGTGACTTCCCTGTCGTGCTGTAAAAATCCCCAAAGCCCAACGCAATGGAACTCAAACTTTCTTAAATGACAAGTGACTCATAAATGGATTTTAGGTCCCAAAGGCATCCCAGCCAGTACCTTGAAAAACCTGAAACTATTTCAAATATGGATTCCTGGCACCAACTGAACGCTGATACAGGATCTACAAAGAACCCGCGATCCCTCCCTTTCCACTCCTCCCCTATCCTGTCAATCCCAAGGTCCCAGGTGCAAGGAAAGTCCTGTGCTGCCAACCTTCAACTTTCTGTGCAATAAACAAAGCTCCAGAGGACATCAGTTCTCCCAGCTGCCAACAGATGGCATCAGTGGTCGTGCAAGGTTGGTTCAGCCTCAACCTTGGCCCTTGTTCCTTAATCTCTGTCATGTTTGCTATGTTTGAAAGGCAGTGTCTTGTTAAAAACTTACTGAAGGTGAACAAAAATTAGGTCAAAATGCAAGCGTCTTTGGATAATGAAATGAGAGAGAGGTGTAGGGGTGGGCGTAAGAGTCCCCAATGTGCCTGGGTCTCTTAGGACACAACCTTGCCAGGAACCAGTGCGGACCCAGGTAGGTTAGTGTCATGTCGGAATGATAACAATTGGACTTTCGGAAACTAACCTTTGAGGAGAGCTTGTGTGTCCCCAACTGACAACAGAAGTGCTTCTCACAGCCCACGCAGAAACCACACAGAAAGCAAAACATCCCTCCACCATGAGGCGAGGCTATAACCACAGCAACACTTTTCAGAACCTTTGAGAACCAGAACTCCGTTTCGTCCAGATTCATCAGGCAATTTTGTCTCCCGATTGTGTGCTCAGAACACCATTAGCCATTCCCAAGAAAACAGGGCCCTCCCTTATCAATTGTGGCCACGCTGAGTGTACAGTTTAGTTTAGTTTAGTTCTTTCTGCAGGAACTAAAGCCATGGTCTTAGTCGTCTGAAGGTCATGGTCA